GCTATAAGGCATGCACGCTCACTGGAGAGACAGAGATAGAGAGACAGAAAGGAAAAATGACCCTCCAGAGGGGATGGCCATGCTGCAATCCTTTCTCCTCCACTTTTTTTCTTGGTATTTTGGGCATGCACACATGCACCTGGGATAAGTTTTTTTTTTTTTAAGATATTTTTGCTATAGGGTGTGTGCGCTCGCCAGAGGGACAGACAGAAAGCAAGAAATCACCCTCCCTCCCCAGGGGGATGGCCATGCCACAATTCCTTCACTATTCTCCTCTTGGGATTTTGGGTATGTATGCACATGTGTCTGGTGGGAGTTTTAAGCCTCTGTGTCTAGAACTTGAACTAAGGTCTACTACATAGGAGTCCAGTAACGTAACCATTATGCCATTTGCTAGTCCCCTGTGTTTTGTTATTTCTGCACATCATCTTTCCTTCATTTCCTTTACTCGGCTAACTCACCTTCCAGGTCACTGTCTTTGGGCGGTCTTCTTGACCTCCTAGATCATCTGGGTCTGCCTAGCCCTACAGATAAGTGAGACATGAGTCTGTGCTTCCACAGGTTACTGCGTTTCCTCTGTTGTAACACTCATCCAAACTTCCACTCGACTGTAAACTCCATCTTGTTCACTTTCACATCCCAGTGCCCTATACAAGAGTCACTTAATAGGCACTTAACAAACAGTCACTGAACCGAACTTGACTGTGTCATTGGCCGTGGAGGTTTCAGTCCTCGTGACTCTGAGCAGGAGGACTGGGATGAAAGATGGCACCCTATACTGGTTCTCTTGCTGGGGCCTGAATTCTTGTTTCTCCACTGTTTATTTATCAGCTTAGCAACCTGATTCAGGGAACAACTGTGCACCTTAGTTGCTTCATATGGAAGTACCATGAGTTTTCAGAAAGCAAATAAAAGGATTAGATAATATTTTTTTAAATTTTTCATTTCTTTTGTTATTAGTACTGGTTGAACATCTTTAATACGAAAATCCAAAGTCGAAAATACTCCAAAATCTGAAATGTTTGGAGCACTGACATGATGCTGGAAATAGAAAATTCCACACCTGACCTCTCGTGGTGAGTTGCAGTGAAAAATGCTGTAATACATGGCCGGCCATGGTGGTGTGGCTGTGACCCGACACCCTGTGATGCTGCAGCCACGTGGGAGGGTTGAGTGTGTGATCTGAGGTCTCCCTACGCAAGCTGGGTGAGCATATGCTCACTATCTCAGTTGGCTGACGGTGGAGGTGGACTGTGATGTGAAGACATCGTTAGGAATGCCTCATAAGAAATAAAAAAACTGCGGCCAGCAGGTGGCATGGTGTTCAAGGCACTGGGCTCCCATTAAGTCAACCACGGTTCAAGTTCCAGACCTGGCAGCTTGCTTTCTCACTTTTTCTCTCTTTCTCTGTCTCTCTCTGGTGAGCACATATGCCCATAGCAAACTAAAAAATAATAATAATAATTAAAATTAAATAATTTAAAGAAGATAAACCTTAAAAAAGCTGCAATACAAAAATATTGTATACAATTATATTCAGGCTATGTGTATAAGGTGTATACAAAACACAAATGCGTTTCCTATTTACCTATATGCAAATATTCCCAAATCCCAAAAGAAATCTGAAGTCCAAAATACTTCTGGTCCCACGCATTTCAGATAAAGATATTCAACCTGTATTTTATACACTAGTCAATTATATTTCCTCTCTTGTACAGTAATCATGCATGTCCTTTGGTGTATTTTTCTTTTATTATAAGACTTCTTTATACATATTTGCTGTTTCTTATATAAATATTTTAATTTATATAATTTATATAGACTTATTAATTAAAAGTTTTTTCATAAACATAAAAAGTTTGTATTTTTTTCTAATAATTCACAAATGTAAAATTTGTTTTTAGCTCACTTGCAGTACAAAAACAGGTAGCTGGCCCAGACACTGTGGCATGGTGGTTGTGAAAGTGCCCAGTAGCACTGGAAGGCATATGCCAACCACGTATTCCTACCCCCAGCTGGCTTGAAAATATGCCAGGCAATGCTTGTGCCCTATAGGAAAAACAAAACAAAACAAAACTACATTAAAAAATTGGGAAAAATTACATTACATTACTTTTTTTTAGGTCGTAGAGCAGGTGTGCTTGCTAGAGACAGAGTCATAGAGAGGGAAAGTGAGAACTCAACCTCACCCCCTAGGAGGATGGCCATGGTGCAGTCCCTTCTCTTCTAGCAATAGCAGCCTCTTCTCCCCCATTCTTCTCTTGGAATTTTGGGCATGCATGCACATGTTTTCAGACCTCTAGGTCTGGGACTCAAACTGCAGAGCTGGCAACGTGGGATCCGGTGCTTTAACTGCCGTGTTGCCTGCTGGCCCACATTACGTTATGTCTTTCTTTCTTTTTTTTAAAGAGATTTTTTGCTGTAGGGCATGTGTGCTCACCAGAGGGACAGTGAGAGACATAGAGACAGAAAGTGAAAAATCACCCTCCCCCCACCCGGGGGAAGATTTCCATGCTGTAAACCCCCCTCCTCCATTCTCCTCTTGGGATTTTGGGCACGCATGCACAGGTGCCTGGCGTGAGTTTTAAGCCACCAGGTCCGGGACTCAAAACATGATCGACTACGTGGGAGTCCAGTGACATAACCGTCTATTGGTCCCTATTCGTAGTTTTCTCTGTACGTTTTGCCAGAAGTTAATTTTTTTAAAGTTCATTTATGTATTTATTTCTTCCATGAGTAAGGAGGGGAGAGAGAGAGAGAGAGAGAGAGCGAGACCCCAGGAGGTCACCGTGCTCTATCCCCAGCTTCAGCCAGCCCAGGATCACAGGCATACACGCATGTCCCTGGCATGCTCAGGGTGGTCCCAGCATGTGAACCCAGGACCTTTCCCAGGTGGGAAAATCATGTTATCTCTGTGCCACTCCCTGGTCCTAAATTTTCTAACTTTTTGAAATGAATTTTTAATTTGAAAAAGGTTTTAAATTATCGTTGTTGTCTAAATAACATAAACATTTCCCTCGCACTTTCTATTCTATTCCACTGATCTCTTTATCTTTTGTTTCCTGGTATTACATTATTATAACACTGTTTAACATCTAGTAAGTCAAGACCCCTTTTACTAATTTTTTCAGTTTGTTATAAGGTGCTTGTGTTCGCCAGAGAGAGAGAGGGGGAGTGAGAACTCAGCCACTGAGGAGGGGGATGGCCACGCTGCAATCTCTTCTCCATCCTCCTCTCAGATTTTGGGCACGCACGCACACATGCCCAGTGTGTTTTTCAAGCCTTCAGGTCTGGGACTGGAGCCATGCAGTTGGCCATGTTGGATCCAGCCATCTTCACCTCCACGCCACCTGCTGGCCCCTTCTATTATTAATGCTCAGCCTTTTCTTGGTTATGATGCTAGATGATATCTCAAAGTTGCTCAGATTCTTTGATTGATAATGCACCCGAATATAAATAAACCCTTTTGGCCCCTTTCTTTCAAACCTAAGTATTTCTTATTCTACCAGATACAAGGTCAGTCATTTTAAAATGCTTATAATAGAGGGCTGAATGGTGACACCCCGTGAGGCCGACCCACATGGGAAGACTCCTGGTTTGCATCTGAGGCCTCACCGAGTATGCCAGGCATGCGTGTGCTCATGATCCAGGGTTTGCTGGAACTGAAGTGGGGTCAGTTGCAGTGTCAGGAACCTACTGGGGGTGCTCTCTCTCTCTCTTTCTCTCTCACTCCTTCATGGAGGAAATAAAAAACTTGGGGCCAGGAGGCGTGGTGGCTGAGGTTCTGGATTCCCACATGGCTGACTATGGTTCATGTTCCAGACCCGGAGGCTTGAAAATCACAACAAATAAATAGATAAATAAATTTCTATTTAAATAGATAAATAAACTTAAAAAAGTGTTAAGAAATGCCTGTAGTCAATCTCTGTATGTTAAAATGGTTTATGTATATGGTATATTTAAATGTGTTTTCTGCGCACACATGTATGCCGTGTGTGTGTGTGTGTGTGTGTGTGTGTGCGCGCGTGCAGTATGTGTGTATAGGATGTATGTATAGTGTTTGGGCTGTTTACAGATACAGTACATGTGAAGGGTGTATGCAGTGTGTTTGTGTGGGCATGTGTAAGTACACAATGTGTTAATGTATGTATATGCATGTATGCAGAGTGTGTGCCGTGTGTATGTCTATGTTGTGTGTGTGGCGTGTTTATGTACGAGTGGAGGGTGTGTGTGGGGGTGGGTGTGAGGTGGAAAAGAGATGCCAAGGCCCTAGGGGGCGCTAGAGAGCTCAGGGTATGTCCCAAAGCCAGGCTGAGTCCTCCACACCCCCTGCCTTCTTGGGAAAAGCAGGGCCATGACTGTGATCCTTTGTGGATGTCACCTGAGGACAGCCTTGAGGGTGAATAGGACCGGACTCTCCTGCAGCGTCTCTGCCCAGCCTCTCACCTCTTCCCTGCATTTCCTGAGAAAAGGGTGACTGCTCCTTTAAGAAAAGGAAGCTTCTAGTACTCTACAATGTAAAGGAGCCTTTGGTGGAAGCAGTGCCACCAGAGGGGTCAGCTCTGAACCAGGCTGGACTTGGAATCTCCTGACTGTGGAGGGTAGCTGCTGAGTGGGGCAGGAGTCAGGAGGGGACCTGTAAAGCAGTGGGACCTTTGTCCTCGGTAATGGGTGAGGTGGCCAGTGTCAGCCTCCGTCTTTTCTTCTCCAGTCCACGTCCAGACAGGGCAGCTCTGCCCAGTTCTTCCCGGTCCCACCCTCCTGAGTGTTGCACCTGCAGGTTGCTCCTTGCCTCCCGAGTCAAAGATGGTTTCTCCCATACAGAGCTCTACAGTGTCCCTGGTACAATGGGGTGACTGTCACCTTGGGCACATTGCCCTCCCTTTCCCTGGGAAGCCTCCTTTGCCCTGACTCCTGAGCAGCTCCTACTGGGAGTGATTACCCTCACAGGATACACTTTCAGGTCATGCCTGACTCACGGTCCCACCTCGCTCCTGCAGGTTCGCAGCACCACCGGGCTCAGAGTCCTGTCTGCATCTTGTGGCATGAGCCAGAGGTTGCCCATTTTCCTGGCAGGATGGAGGGGCTGAACCGGGATACTTTACTGCCCAGAAGGGATGCCTGGACTCAGACTTCCCCAGCCAGGAGGAGGATCAGGCACGCCCAAGTTCAAGGTGCAGGTAAGTCCAGGTGCCACTGCATTGGAGCCAGGAAACGGGGCTCGCCCTTCCTAAGGACAGTGCTCATGCTGTGGGGGTGGGGAAGAGCAGGCCAGGGCTTCACACAGTGCCCGGGTTCTAACAACCCTCTGGCCTTTCCATGACCCACACGTACTTGACCACTGCTTTGCTGATTTCAGGGCTCCTTCTCCAGTTTCTGTTCTCTGTCGGTGGCCAGCTGGCACTGGGGCATCTGGTTTCTTTACCTACCTCTGGAAGACAGGTCTGCTACCTCTGCCTGCTGTTCGCCACAGGGCAGGTGTGGAGGGCAAGGAAGAATAGGGTGGCCTTCAGGGCAGACGGGCCTGGGTTCGCATTTCAGCTCTGTCCGTTCTAACTCTATAAACCTTGGACAAGTCACCTCTTGGCCTAAGGTTTCGATTTCTTCCTGGTCACTTGGGGCTAATACTTTTGAGGCTTGCTGTGGAGATTAAGTGGGATTATGTGTAAATTGCCCAGCTCAGGCCCCGGCATCTGGTACTCTCTCTCTCTGTATGTATATGTAAGCTTCTCCCTTGCATCTCCCAGTCTTATCTTGTGTTGATCACTGAGCCATAAATATCCACTTGACAACCTAGTCAGGGGGCCAGGGACAAATACTCACACTTCCCATGTTTAGATTTACATAGACCAAGCGGCTGTCAGCTCCCACGGTGGCAACAGGCAGAGATTTGCAGAGCAGATGTCTTGGTGTGAAACTCGCCCCTGAATGTTTGCAGACAAAGTAGCACAGGGGCTGACCTTCCTTCCAGCTCTGCCTTGTGCACCAGGCTGGGGAGATTGAAAGTGCCTGTCTGCCTGCCCATCTCCTGTGTGACTGTCCCTCAGCTGCTGGGGTCTGCTGTCCTCCTATCTAATGGCACCAGACTGTGAGTGGGGGGCAGTGAGGATGGCTGGAGCAAGCTGCTCCTATCTGGACCTGCGTGGGGTGGCTCTCCACCAAGAGAAGGCTGGAAAGGGTGCTCCAGGCGCAGGAGTTGGCAAGGGGCTGGCTCAGCCTCATGGAGGGCAGTGTCCCTCGGAGCAGAGTGCATTTTTCCAGGCCCACTGTACTGGGTTGGCAGGGTGCTCCTTTAACCTAGCTTGGGTCTGATGATTACAGAGCTGAGCTTCAAAGCAGGCTACAACCCGGATAATTGTTGCCCTGGGGGAGCTGGGCGAGCAAGCCAAGCCCGTCCAAGTGGGCCCGCTGGGCCCCGGGAGGCCGGGGTGGCGGGGCGGGGGCGATGGTTCTGCGGTGCTGCGGTCGGGAGCCTCCCGGTGGCCGCCCCATCTGCCAGCTCCTCCGGGAAGGAGCCACTCTGGAGCCGCCAAGACTGTTCGGACGACTCCTCCCCTCTGGCGCGTCTGCTCCGGCAGGTGGAAATCTCTGCATTCAAACCAGCGCGGGCCAATCAGGGCCCGGCGCGCTCCGGCGGTTCCAACGCGCCTCGGTGCAACCCTGCCTCCTGCTGCCGCCTCGGAGCCGCTGGGCTGGGGGCGGTGACCCTGCTGCCTCGGTTACTGGGAAGCAACACTGCCGCCTCGGGTTACAGGTGCCTGCCGGTGCAGCGGCGGGACGCCATGGAGCACTCCCTTCACCGCGTCTCCCTGGGGAGCTGGCGCGCCCGCCGGGACTTGTCCTTCTACCTCACTACCTTTGGTAAGTCTCCGTTGGGGCTGGCTGCCAGACACTGCTGGACCCTGCTCTCAACTGGCAGAAAGGCAGCCCCCTGTGACGGGATGGGAGCATCGCTCTGTGAAGGACACCTTCGCTGGCCCCTTCGTCTTGTGGTTGCCCAGGAGTGCCCAGGGCCTAGCTCGGACAGAGTAAGCTGCTGGACACCACCTGCTGCCACTGGTGCCAGCTGCGGTTGGTTCTACCTCGCTTGGCTGGAATAATCACAGCCCAGTTAATCTTTCAGAGACTTGGTTTGTCACCACTGAGTTTCCCCAAAACAGGCAACTTAGGTTAAATCAAGGTCTTATTACTGTGTCTGAGATCTCATTCACCCACTTCCTTTTGGCTCAGGGACCAGACAGGTGCCCGGGGCAAGCCCAGGTGCCCTTACCTCCTGTGGGCTCTCCTTGCAGGCTGTCATCTGACTCCTCCATCAGGGATCAGATCCTCAGTGAAGATGGAGAATTCTCTTCACTAAGACAGACCAATCTCTCAGGAAGGTCCCAGGGCTGCCCTCAGGCCTGAGGTGGAAAGAAATGAACAGTAAGCCCCAGTCCCAACCCCCTAGATAGCAGGCTGGGTTACCCCAAACAACAGCAGGGCAGCAGCTGCTCCAAGGACCTAGGCACACCCTTCCCAGTAGCCATAATAAAGATAACGACCTTTCCCCAGGGCTCAACCCTTTGAATCAGCTTCACTTCCTCACTGGTCCTGCAACTCCCTGTAGGGGGTAGGTATTTTACCTCTGCAAAGACTTGAGAGCAGGGAGAGGAAGATCTCCCAGGAGCTTGTGGCAGAGTTTGTACCTGAGCTCAAACCTTCTGGAGATGTCCCATCCGGCACATTTTTGTTTGAATTTGCATACAGTTTCCTTAAGGCCCTGTAACTGGACTTTACCCTGATTTCAAAGCCAGAGCTTGCAAGGAGAAAGGCCCTTGCTGGGATTCTTGGCTCCTCTTGCCTTCCGACTTACTCCTGTCCAATACACTTGGCTCTTCGCTATCTGCTTTTTTCTCTACAGGCGGATAGGGTAATAGAAAACCAGTGGCTTGGCCCCAAGAAAGGGCCTGTGGTCTGGCCATTTCTGGAATTTGCTAGCCTCGTTGACGGGAGGACAGTGCAGAGAATGATTAATTAGCTAGTTTGTTGAGCGTTTGCCATGTGCCATGTCTCATGCCAGGTGTTGTGTACCGCATCATCTCCCTGGTGCTTCCAACCCTACGAGGCAGTTCCTGTCAATCCCATTGGGCCGTGAGAGAAGGAGAGTTTCCGGATGTTTGAGGTCGGCAGGGCTGAGACTGGTCAAGAGTGTCAGGTAGCGGTAAGGCTCTGTAACTCTGATGTCATCTTGATTAAAAAAATAAAAAATACGTTTCATTGCTTTTTCCCTCATGATCATGGTAAGCTGTGTTCGTTGTTAAAAACTTAGTGAAAAGAAAGTGAAAAATCACTTGAAATCTGACTCCTCAGGGAGGCCACTGTTGACATTCCTGTTTATATTCTTTCAGACTTAATTCCCTGTCTCTCTGTATGTGGTCTAGTTCTAACAAAACTGAGATCAAATTGTATGTTTTGAAACCGGTTTCTTCCCCGTGTTGGTATGATATAAATATCTCCTTGCATCAGTCCATAGTCTTCTGTTGAATTAATCTCCCTGCCAGATCTGGAAAGTCAGGGAGGGTCCAAGCCCAGAAGTCAGGGAAGGTCCAAGCCCAGCCATGGTGTCAGGGCTGGGGCCAATGGGTATCAGAGAAGGTTGTTACTTGAACGAGTGAATGAAAGTGCAGGAGGCTGGAGGAGCCTGGGTGGGGTGGGGAGCTTCTGCTTTTGTTTATGCTGGCTCCTCTCAAATTTTCCCAGGACACTGATCAGAATGTTTGATGAGTCCTCTGCTGTTGCCTGCATTAGCTCTATTTCTTTGGGTGCTATTTGTCATGGTGCCCCTCTCTCAGGCTGTTGATTTTCTTCATACGCCAAGTAATCTTTGCTCCTGTGTTCCTGAAGATTTTATCAGTGGTTAGCAAACCTGGCCAAATATAAGCATCTAGGGAGCCTATTAAAGCACACAGATTCCTAGGATCTTCTCCCACAGATTCAGGTTTTATAGGTCTGGGAAGAGCCTGAACATCTATAATTTGACAAAGCCACAGAAATTATTTGGCCTACCAGCCAGGTTTGGAAGCTATGGATAGTCATTTTCAGTAGCCAGTGTGGACATCCTTCACTGTGAAGAGCTTTGCTAAGGATTCCTCTGGTCACTGGCCTTTCCCCAGCAAGGCAGGTAGCTCCTGGTCTTTAGCCTTGGCAGGACTAGATGAAAGTACTGCCTAGCTCGTAGTTTTATTACCAATCTTTAACTTTTTTCTGAAGATGAGATCTCTCTCTCTTTTTTTTTTTTTTTAGAGATTTTTACTGTAGGGTGCTGTGCTTTCTGGAGGGACAAAAAGACAGAAAGTGAGAAATCAGCCTCCAGGGGTTATGGCCACATTGCAATCCTTTCTCCTCCATTATCCTCTTGGGATTTTGGGCACACACATACGTGTCTGCTATGAGCTTTAAGCCACTGGGTCCAGGATTCTAACTGTAGTCTACTACGTGGGAGTCCAGCGACATAACCATTATGCCATCTGCTGGTCCCAAAGATGGGATCTTTTGCTGTTGCAAAGCCAGTTTACAAAACTGGAACTGAATGTCAAGGCACAAACTGTATTCAGTGGCCAAGGAGTTGGGGAGCAGGGGGGCTGAACTCACAAATCAAATTTTTGCTGGCCTTGAGCTGAGAAGTTTAAACTATATCAAATAGGGTAATGAGGGGATGAGATAGGGCTGGTTATAGAGGGGAGAAATGTTCAGAGCTTTTCCTGGAGAAGGTGGGGACTTCCGGGGATTCAAGAACTCTCCTCCTTTTCCTCCTTCTAAGGATATTTCTAGTAGTTTCCCTGGTGATTATACGCTGTCGTAGTGCTGGAAGGTGTGTCATTTAGCCCCTAAATGATGTTATAATGAAGTGTGGGGTCTTCCAGTGGTCAGTATGGTGGCCATGTTGGATGCCACGGTCCAGGCTGGTTCTTGGAAAGCGTTATCTTGTTTCTTAGGCATGCTCCCTGTTACTAACAAACACCATTTAGGGAAGGACTGGGGCATGGTCTGAGCACCGATTGTATGGTGGGTGACAGTTTACTGAGCACAATCATTTAAAGAGACAAAATGATTTTGATCAGAGTTTCCTTTAGGAGGAGGACTGTATGAGATATATATTGCTTGTGTGTGAGTGTGTGTGTGTGTGTGTGTGCCCGTGTGCATATGCCCAAGCAACAACCTTTCAAGAAAGGGGCATGTTTGAGTAACATTGATTGAGTTTCCATGTAAACTGTAGGCATCATATTTTATATAGAAAGTAAAAACTGAAGTTGACAAAAAAAATGAAGTTGAAGTTTTTAGGACACCTTTTTCCCCCCAAATTATTATTATTATTATTAATTATTATTTTTCCAGAGGATATGTGTGATTGCTGGAGAGAGAGAGAGAGAGAGAGCGAGCAAGCGAGAGAGAGGCACTAAAGCACCCCAAACAAGGTCTGGGCATGCTGCCATCCCCTACCCTGAGATCTGGCTCAGCAGGATCTTGGGCATGTGTGTGTGCCTGGCATGTCTCAGGTCGATCTGGCTGAGATCTGAACTGTGGTCTGCCTTGTGGCTTCCAGCACTGCAATTCAGCACACTACCGACTGCACCTTGGAGGTGGACCTAGAATGTTTTTTTGGAAGGGATACCAACAGATAAGCTTGCTTGGTGAACCAAATTATCAACTTCCCTGGGGTCCCCAAACCAAATTATTAACCTACTTCTAGTCTCTGGTAGGATGGATGTGGCGAGTGGTCAAGGAAGAGAGCAGGTCGCCTTTCCACTGGGGTGTTTGGGCCAGTAGATGACAGGCAGGCTGGACATGTTCTAAGGGCTGTAGGTGGCTGTGGACATCGAGTGACACAACCTACTTGTCTTTAGAAACGTCAGCCCTGATGAACCCATAAGATGAAAGCTGTCGGGAGCAGCTCTAAGTGTAGGTTCTAGAGTGCCTATAGGCTTTGATTTGCCCGAGAGAAGCTGGGAAGATGTGGTTGAAGGCATAGTAGACTAAGGAATGCCATCGACTGGCTGGGCATTTTCTTTCTTACTCCACATTTGTCGTGGCAGTGCAGTCTTAATTGAGGCCCCAGTCCACTCTGTTCCCTGCCTCTCATTAGAGCCACAGAGATAAATACTCCCATTTCCTTCCTTCCTTCCTTCCTTCCTTCCTTCCTTCCTTCCTTCCTTCCTTTCTTTCTTTCTTTCTTTCTTTCTTTCTTTCTTTCTTTCTTTCTTTGAGAGATTTTTGCTATAGGGCACATGTGCTTGCCAGAGAGACAGAAAAACAAGAATTTGCCCCCCAGGGGGGATGGCCATGCTACAATTCCTTCTCATCCCTTCTCTTCTTGGGATTTTGGGCATGCACACATATGCACCTGACATGAGTTTTAAGTTGCCGGGTTTGGGACTTGAACCACAATCTACTATGTGAGAGTCCAGCAAGGTAAACATTACGCCATCTGTTGGTCCCAATACTCCATTTTCTGTAGTGCAAATGAAGCTGGGAACCGATGCCAGCCACCTGCTCCATGTGTTGGGCAGTGTGAGGTCAGACCTGAACTGGAGGCCCTGACAAGTCCCTGCCAGCTGGCCCCGGTTTGCCCTCATTTCCAGCCCTGCTGCCCTGAGCCTGGGAAATTTCCGTGCATGCAACTATTTCTCAGGAGTGCATCATCTGCTGGCTAGTCCTCTGCATTTATTGGCTTTTCTGTTATTTGAAGTTCATCTGCTTGGGAGCTTTTAGAAATTCCTCCAAGTTTCTGGCTTCTCGATAGCCCTTTGTCTTCTTTCTAATTGTGCTGTGTACGTGTGTCTGTGTTTAAAAACCTTTATAACTAGGAGATATTATTACACACATACAGGAGAAAGTTCCCCCAAATGACGTGCAGTTCAGTGATTCACCACCAAGCAAACAACTTCATAATGTTCACTGGAGTTAAAAATTGAATACTACCAGTATCCAGAAGATTCGAGTTTGATGTGTGGTTTATTTTTTCCTCTATCATCCAGTTCAAATTATTTTCTAATTTTCATCATCATTTTTTCTTTAACTCATGGGTTATTTAAAAGTTTTTTTTTTTTTTTTTTTTTTAATTTGCCATACAATGATAGTGCTCGCAGGTGAGAGATAATGGGTTAGGGGGACGTGAGGAATCAGCCCTCAGCGGAGATTGTGTAGGTGCAATCCCTTCTCCTTTCTTCTCTTGGGATCTTGCGCACTCATGCACTCATGCACTCATGTCTGGCATATTTTTCAAGCCACCGGGTCTGGGACTCAAACTGCACAGTTGGCCATGTGGGACCTCTGTGCCACCTCCTGTCCCCAAAAGTGTATTTCTTAATTTTTTTTGGGGGGGGAGAGGTTTTTGCTATAGGGCGCATGTGCTCGCCAGACAGACAGAGAGAGACAGAGAGACAGAAAGCGAGAAATCACCCCCCAGGGGGGATGGCCACGCTGCAATCCCTTCTTCTCCATTCTCCTCTTGGGATCTTGGGCATGCACACACATGTGCCCGGTGTGAGTTTAAGCCACTGGGTCCGGGATTTGAACCGCGGTCGACTACATGGGAGTCCAGCGACATAGCCATTATGCTAACTGCTGGTCCCTATTTCTTAATTTCTAAATGTTAGGGATTTGGAATAGTATCTAACATTTTGGTCAGAGAACATCCTTTGATTTTATT